ATTTCGGCCATGTTTCAACGAAGAATTCTTGACTGCTAATTTCCCGATTGCGACAAGTAATTGTGGTGTATATATATATATATATATATATATATACACACACACACACATATATATATATATATATATATATATATATATATATATATATATATATATATATATATATATATATATATATCCCAAAATATAGCTAACACATAAATAAATCATATGTTGGAATAACAATATAATTATTTAGTTTATACGACGTGGGAGTTAAGAACCATAAGATCCTATACTTGGGCATTGAACGGTAACTATAGCATGCAGCAGCAGTGGTTGTTATATTTAATATTTATAAAATTTGCCAATTTTTCATGGTACGATACCACAGGGAAGAGATATACAGAGAGGAAACACGCGGCAAATATATAGAAAATTATATTAATTCACTATTTTATTAAATTTTGATAATGCAGAGGAATAAAACTATACATATTATAGAAGTATTTATGTTTTTTTTATGCACGAGTTATATTTTGAGGCATTTATATCATTCGCTGCTTTTTTTTTTATACATGAGCATCTGAAAATCCCAGCCATGCAGTGCTTTTCACGATTTTAATAAGGAGTAGATAGGGGAAAAAACCAAACTTTTGCAAAATTAATTGTTATGCTATCACTTTTAATAAAAGGAAATCAATAAAAGTGATCGCTTACCGTTATTCTACAATATTTTATTGAACAAGATTTCCATGGGTATCTCATTTTTTTTTAAAAGCGATTTTCACCTTTCGAACGGCGTTTTCCCTAACTCTTGCTATGAAATTTCAGCGACGGCACTGGCTGGAAGATTTTGCGTGGCGCGTGGAACGCGTGACACAAACATTCAGGTTATCGAGTGTCAGTTTCCTCTCTGTATATCTCTCCTCTGTGACGATACGTTTACCGTAATACCGTTTAGCAATATGTTCTGCAGATTAAAGACCGATTCGAAAAATAGCTGTCATTCTTTCTTCAATTTCAGCCTGACTTCAAGACTATAACGATATAAATATAATTCCAGCTGTATTCTTTGAGAAATTAGATGTTAAATATAATGAAGTTTATGCTAGATTTAGCAACTGGCCTGACTAGCCTCGTTTTCGTGCTTTTTTTGCGCCGTTTCAAAGGTGCATGTGATTTGCTTGCATGGATTTTTTCAATCTTAAACAGTTTTACACTTTGCTACGGCTTAAGCGGTCTCTGTTGAAACAATATAGAGGTTCAGATTTGACTCCCACTATACCTCTCACTGGCTTAGTACACATCTGATTGGTTAATTGAATATATCAAACGCATCTGATTGGTTAATGGTCCCTTAATGGTAGCGTAAAGGCGGTTTTCCAGTCCTCGCACGAAGCTCCTCGCAGCTCGCTGCGAGTGCTTGCATCTAATTAAAATTAACTGTTTAGCATTGTGATTGGATGAAAGTGCTCATGCATGCACTCGCAGCGAGCTGCGAGGACTGGAAATTCGCCTTTAGCATTGGTGGAAGTCTAATTAATAAAAAATATAGAGGTTCAGATTTTACTTGTACTACCGCTACCATTAAAGTGCACCTAATCTCAATTATTTTTATCATCTCATTCTTATAAGAACTCAGTCTGAAATGATATAATAACTTTGCTCACTTTGTTTCTGAGATATTTCACCAGTTTGTTTGGTATGCAAATATCCGGAATTTACGTCACAAATGCATATCGTATTCACTATTGAGTTTAACTCAATTAAAATGGCCCAAAGGCCATAGAGCGGATATCTTAACTACAGACGGTACCGTTTCGGCCTTATGGGCCTCATCAGTGTAGTGCTGATGAGCAGGATGAAAGTAACTGCTATTTACAGTTACCTTTGATGCCTCACGATTGTGGGACATCAAAACCATGCCAGAGCGCTCAAACTGCTAGCAGTGAGCGTGCGCAATGCGTAAGCGGCATGGCTCATCCTGTAGAGCGCTCAATATGACCCAAAGGCCATAGAGCGATATCTAACTACAGACGGTACCGTTTCGGCCTTATGGGCCTCATCAGTGTAGTGCTGATGAGCAGGATGAAAGTAACTGCTATTTACAGTTACCTTTGATGCCTCACGATTGTGGGACATCAAAACCATGCCAGAGCGATCAAACTGCAAGCAGTGAGCGTGCGCAATGCGTAAGCGGCATGGCTCATCCTGTAGAGCACTCGATATGACCTAAAGGCCATAGAGCGATATCTAACTACAGACGGTACCGTTTCGGCCTTATGGGCCTCATCAGTGTAGTGCTGATGAGCAGGATGAAAGTAACTGCTATTTACAGTTACCTTTGATGCCTCACGATTGTGGGACATCAAAACCATGCCAGAGCGCTCAAACTGCAAGCAGTGAGCGTGCGCAATGCATAAGCAGCATGGCTCATCCTGTAGAGCGCTCAATATGACCTGAGGTCATACAGCGATATCTAACTACAGACGGTACCGTTTCGGCCTTATGGGCCTCATCAGTGTAGTGCTGATGAGCAGGATGAAAGTAACTGCTATTTACAGTTACCTTTGATGCCTCACGATTGTGGGACATCAAAACCATGCCAGAGCGGTCAAACTGCAAGCAGTGAGCGTGCGCAATGCGTAAGCGCATGGCTCATCCTGTAGAGTGCTCGATATGACCTAAAGGCTATAGAGCGATATATATATATATATGTTGTTCAAAATGAAAAAAATTAAAAATAAAAAATTTTAAAAATTTAATGTGCTGCTACTTAAGTTTCACGTATTACCGATCGTCAGACAGCCATTTTTTAATTTTTTTATTTTTTTCATTTTGAACAACATATTAAGCTCTGCGAATTTCCCGCATCGAGCACTGTACTCGTTTTGGCTTCAACAACCAAGCAAGTTATATATATATATATATATATATATATATATATATATATATATATATATATATATATATATATATATATATATATATATATATATATATATAAATTAAGGTACAACAAATCAACAAAATCCACTAGGCATCTTTATTACTAAATAGTTTCGTACCACAGTATGTGGCACTCTTCAGATAAATTGACCTAATGACAATTAGGTCAATTTATCTGTAGACAATTAGGTCAATTAGGTCAATTTATCTGAAGAGTGCCACATACTGTGGTACGAAACTATTTAGTAATAAAGATGCCTAGTAAATTTTGTTGATTTGTTGTACCTTAATTTATATATATATATATATATATATATATATATATATATATATATATATATATATATATATATATATATATATATATATATATATATTGAGATATATATATATATTGATATATATATATATATATATTGAGATATATCTCAATATATATATATTGAGATATATCTCAATATATATATATATATATATATATATATATATATATATATATATATATATATATATATATATATATATATATATATATAGATATATATATATATATAGACATATATATATAGATATATATAGATATATATAGATATATATAGATATATATAGATATATATAGATATATATAGATATATATAGATATATATATATAGATATATAGATATATATATAGATATAGATATATATATAGATATATATAGATATATATATAGATATAGATATATATATAGATATATATATAGATATATATATAGATATATATATAGATATATATATAAATATATATAGATATATATATATATATAGATATATATATATATAGATATATATATAGATATATATATATCTATATCTATATATCTATATATCCACTGTTAATTTCGAGGAGTCAAATTGACTCCAAAAGTGGAGTAGATAAAAAAGGTACAGAACGACTCCTTTTTTGGAGTAAATTTTACTCCTTTATTTACTCCATTTTTGGAGTAAATTTTACTCCATAAGTAGAGTTGTTTTTACTCCTCAAAGAGTAAAAACAACTCTACTTAAGGAGTAAAATTTATACCAAAAATGGAGTAAATAAAGGAGTAAAATTTACTCCAAAAAAGGAGTCGTTCTGTACCTTTTTTATTTACTCCACTTTTGGAGTCAATTCAACTCCTTTGGAGACAAAATGACTTCTATATATCGGAGTAAAGAAAAGTCTTTAACTCACTTTAGAAATCAATAAACTAAAATATTTTTCAAGTCAAAATAATTTATTATCCCTACAAGTGAGGTATATTATAGCAGGAAATACAATTTGCTGTAGCATAATATAATGATATACTCTTACGCCCTATAATATTTTAATAAAGTTCTAAATTGATTGGAATGATATCATGAATACATGATTAGAATGATATCATGAATACATGTGGAATACAATTACAAGCCTGTCAGCATGAATTGAACCTGCAGCCCTGCAATTCTACTGCAGCCCTGACCTAAAGAGCCCTTTTGCCAAGAGGTAACCACAAGTTGCTGTATAATTATATATACCATGGTGGTGTCATTGGTAGTGTATTAAATAAACTGCCCAGGATGACACTAGTATTATACTGTATACACGAACTCTTGGTTACAGTAGAGCTTGATTGACTCTCAGGGCGATGGACTCTTAGGGCTTCAGGACCCTTGACGGTTAAAAAGCTAATCAGAATCACCCGTAGGGCAGCAGGTTCCATTCCCAGCACAGTACCGGCCAATATATAGTTGTCGTTCAAAAAATTTACATTTACAGGAAAGCTTTAACCCATTAAGTGGCAGCACTCTCTACTTAATGAGCAAAAATTGTCTGACCACATTAGACAGAAAAAATAAAAAAGTAAAGCAAATTGCCACTTAAAGGGTTAATATTCTGTTCAATGTAGAATATTTACAAGTAAAATATACTGCATGTATTAAATGTATGTAGTGTCACTGTTCAATCAAACATGTCAAGCAAGTCCATTAGTAAAAATTTAGTACAAAACAAGTTGTATACCACAAGTCGGCAACTCCATCCCTTGCATGGTTTGGTAATTCACAAAAATGCTCTCCAGCAAAAGAATAACATTTTCCAAATAGACCATGAAGTTCTTAGAATGCCATTAATGATTACATATGATACCACTTGTTTACACAACTTGCCTTCTCCTGGGAAGCTTTTGTTAAATCCATATATTAATGACAATCCCTAGTAAGAAAAAAAATATATGAGGTTGATATATAACAGCAGCAAATGATGTTGGTGTCATGTACTCAGGTGAATATATGATGTTTGTGATGTTACTCTCACCAGTAACGTAGCCAGCCGACTATTTGGTTCCGCTATGCAAATAGTTTCATGTTCATTGACTGTGAAAACAATCAATTTCTAAAGAAATGAATAATGATAATAATTTTGAATTTGCATAGCGGGACTAAATTGTCCGGCTGGCTACGCCACTGACTCTCACTCAGTGTGGATCCACACTGGGCAAGCTGAAAAGTTAGCTTGGCCACGGTTACAGGTTCGATTCCCACTGTGGCCAAGCTAACTTTTCAGCTTGCCCGGTGTGGATGCACACTCACAGTAACATCACAAACATCATATATTCACCTGAGTAAACAACACCAACACACACAAAATAAAAATTATTGATTGATTGACAATGAATTTGCTATTTTTGGTTGTTTGCATATATACAAAGCAAGAAATACAAAATTCAAATGCTTTTACTCATTTAATGTAAGCATGCAATTGAACTAACATCATCCAGATGAATACAACTTTTCTGGTAAAGGGTGTTTAAAATAGAGGTGCATAATTGACCCAAAATTCATTGTCCCAAAATCTTGCTAATGCCAAGCTAGGATTTTCCATATAAATTATATACGATCTCTGTGATTGTTTTTGTCAGTTTATACATCTCGAGACTGTCTGCAAAAGTATGAGTGATTGATCACTTGTTGGTTCACTTTATTGGAAAATGTGCTTGTACTATATAACTCAGTCTGGGTGATTTGTTTTGGCAAGCCTGCCCATCTAAAGAGGCTCATGTAACCAGACATTCATCCAGGGAAAGCGAGCTATAGCCAGGTTACCTGGGTGGCTCGCCTCTATATAAGCAGCCCCTTACACATGTTTTAGGCTGACTGATAGCCGATAGGAGGGCTACCATAGCAAGCAGAAGCCATACACTGGGTAATATTAGATGGGCTATTGCAATGCTGTCAAATGTGACTGCATTTCAAACAGATCACATATATATTAAAGTATACATATTTAGCACGAAATACAACATACATGTATATCACACAAATAAAGCCCCGTTTACACGAGCAAATTTTAGTTGACAAATTTCATATGTCAGAGATATTTTGCTCGTGTAGATGATAAATTTGTGACAAATTTATTGTGACAAATGCATTTGAACATCAAATGCTTTTGATGAAATGAAATTTGTCAAATAAAATTTGCTCGTGTAAACGGGGCTAACAACACATATAAGTAGAGACTGTAGATTAGACTTATGGACTTCTGCTAATACAAATTAATCGAAAATTAAAACTGAACGTCTAGGTCGGCAAATCGGCGGCGAAGCGACTAAAATACAGGCCTTCGTCTTCGATTTAAAAATATAACTATACAGTATATCAAGTAACTTTCCACACACAAATAAGTAAATACACAATAAACATACCTTTTAAAACAAATTCCATGTATCTTATTAGGTCTTTGGAACTTTATAAGTAGAAAATTTGAATAAATATCATTCCCCTTTGAATGTTTGCTCCCGAAGGATTGAACTTGGCGCTTGGTCTTTGTGTGAACCAGATCGAATTACTACAACACGTGATATATTCTAAGCATGCTAATTGGTTGAAAATCTGCAACTTCCACTTGTCGCAAATTATATTCAGCAGAATTCAGCAGCAGAACATTCCACACGTTCAAATTACAGATTTAGGGCTGATTACATGGAGAGTTTTCAGCCCAGGCTGAGTTTCAGCCCGGTTAAACGAGCTGAAATTGCATCACGATTACATGAGCAGTTTCAACCCGGGCTGAGTTTAGTCAGAGCTATATTTATCATCTATGGCACGTTTATAATGTCAAAATTCAAGATTGTGAATCGAACATAATGTCTTAAATCGAGCAGCGTTTACTCGAGTCGAACAAACTGTAAGTAAGCATCACCGTTCCAAATCGAGCAACGTTCACTGGAGTCAAACAGACAAGCCAAAATCGAACAAGACTTTACCGAAACGAACAGACAACTTTAAGAAAATGGGAACGAGCACAAGCTTACGGAGTCGATTAAGCATTAGCGGAGTCGAGCTGAAGACTTTCGCATTAACCGAGTCGTTCAACAACACTGCAACACCCGTGTTTCCACATTAAAATATCGAACAAGACTTTACCGAAACCAGCAGACAACTTTTTAACAAAATGGGAACGAGCACAAGCTTACGGAATCGATTAAGCATTAGCGGAGTCGAGCTGAAGACTTTTGCATTAACCGAGTCGTTCAACAACATTGCAACACCCGTGTTTCCACATTAAAATGTGCAATTTCCCAAATATTTAATACAAATTTCGTCCCGTAAATTTTCCGTAAAAAAATTAATTTAGAATAATAAATTGAATAATAAGTGAAAAAGCAGGGAATTGTTTTTTTACAAGAGGAAACACGTTATGACTCGTGTTCTGTTCGCAATTCTTCGCAGTTCAATTCAAGCTTTACATAACAAAAGGTATGAATAAATTATTAATAGTATCCATATTTGCATATTGCATATTTGTACCTTTTTGTGGTAGTACAATAAACCTTATTAATAATTCGTCAACAGAGCATCATATCCTATGAAACGGAAGTGAATGATTTTGAAGTTTGCTGCTTTTGTTCACTGCATTTTATTTCAGTATATGCCGACAGATGTGTAGGGTAGGGGTGGGGGGGGGGGTCCATAGTGCTTGATCCAATGAATTTAATCCATTTTTATTATATTATTAAAGTTCTATTATACAATATTGTATACATGATTGTTATTAATTCACAAAGGGGAGGAGGCAACTGTCTGAAAAATACGAGGGCTTCACCCTCAGGCAGTTGGACCCTGCATTTACCAACTACATAATTGGAGTTTTTACACTTGATAATTATATTTTCTTTTGAAATGATCATATTTATTGTTATTTAAATTGCATGATATTTCAATTGTATAGAACAAATGAATGACAACGCCAAAAATTTATTGAGGGCATGTGCAGAGAATCTGTTAAATGCAGTTAATCGTCTGGAAAATTCCCAGACACCCAGTCGAGGTGAGACACCCAGTCGAGGTCGGACACCCAGTCAAGGTCAGACACCCAGTCAAACACAGACACCCAGTCAAGGTCAGACACCCAGTCAAACACAGACACTCAGTCGAGGTCAGACACCCAGTCAAACACAGACACCCAGTCAAGGTCGGACACCCAGTCAAACACAGACACCCAGTCAAGGTCAGACACCCAGTCAAACACAGACATCCAGTCAAGGTCAGACATTAAGTCTTATACCTACTCCAAGAAGAACAGCTGCTGAGGAGCACAGGGGTTTGTTTGGTTACAGACCTCCAAGTGCAAGGGTCGGTAAAACCAAACCACCCCCAAAAAGAAGAATGGTGATAACATCAACTGGAGCACAAATATCTGTGCCAATACGAAATACATGGTCCCGTACGTTTATGTGTTTAACAAAACGAAATGCAGTCACTCCACCTTCAACAATGGACAAAATGAACATGGCTCTTGCAGGTTTGGAGGAACAAACCATTACTTTTACAAAAAGTGGGAACAGTGATCATGTTCACCAGAAAATCTTAGAGGCTTTCCCAATGTTGGCTGAAGTGGGTGGTTATGAAATATTAAGGACAGGGGAGAGAAGTTCACGCCAATTAATGGTCATTTCTATCCCCCCTGGTGGGTACACTGTCCAGTATTCGAAGTCGACAATCGCATCAGCGAAAGGCTATATAAGACCTCTGCAAAGGGACATTGTTTTAAAGCCAGTAACATTAACAGATCCAGATCAGAGCCAGGTGGGTGATAAACTGTCATAAATAACTACAGTGTATATAAATAAGCTTCATTGTAGTTTTCAGCTATTGATACAAAATATGATTGAACCTGTTTTCAACAAAGCTGTTCTGTTTGTTTCAGATTTCTATGAGCCTGAAAGTAGCATGTGTCAATTGTCACCAGGACATAGCGATGGACACAATGCGTTCACACCTGGAAATATGTGGAGGAGGGAGTTCAATAGATTATGATGAAATAACTGTTACTAGGTAAAATTGGGTACTGTATTCCCTTTAGTTAACCCCCTCTCAAATAAGCACCTGTGTAATAAGGTACGTGTTTCTCATAAGGAATGAATTAATTACCCCCCCCCCTCTACTTTAGCACAAAACGTCTTTGGTTTGATCAGATTTAATGTCAATTTCAAAGGAGGTTGCAATTCACCCGGTTGGCGTACGCATTAGTGACATGCAAAGATAGTTTGTTCTAAGCTGGGATATTAACAGTTTAAATCTATCTCTTTTTTGTTAAATAGTAGAATTTGTATATTTGTCATTTTATGAATTGATAAATAAGCACCCCTTTTCTTATAAGCCCCCCTTTTCTTATAAGCCCCCCCTCTAATAACTCCCCTCCCTGATTTACTGTAATACTTATATATTGTTTTCCTTCTGTACTGTTGTTGCACAGTATATACTGAAATAAATTACTGTATATGGGAAGCATGAGTACCCAATATTAGGTACTTAACCAGGTATCCGGATTCATTTTTCCTTATCCGTATACTGCTATCTGATACCATCCAGGTTTCTGGGAGAACAGTATCAAACACATTCCTATTAATTTCACATATTTTTTCAAAAGTTTTTTAATGTAAAGTACCGTAATGCAGTTAATTGACTATGTAAATTTCACTTAGTTGGACATTGTTATATTTTAGTGACTGTGAAGATCTGGAAAGTGATGAGATAAATTTGGAAGCAGGAGGTATGCTGGCATATGAAGGATATAAATAATTTCAAAAATATATATGTAGTGGAAGGTTTGGCCAATGTACCATTTAGATAGCTAGAAGTATACAGTATACATAAATTAAATTTACATCTGGTTAAGGTATTGTTACACGAGGCAATTGTTGCTTCAACGTGCAAAGCAGATGGAATTTGCTCTCTTGTCAACATTTATCTCCGTATTTCTGTAACATTTTGCTTCTTAAATGCATGTTGTGTAAAGGTTTCAAGATAGTAGAAACAGAAACGGATGTTTAGATTTTGCTCTGGTGGGGTGCAGAAAATTTAGGGAGGAGGTGAGAGACGGGGTGCATAGCGGCGGCAAACGAGCTGTAGGGGTAAATGCTGTTACTGGGGGGGGAGGGGGAAAAGCCCCCAGGAGATTTTTAGTCTTATTTAGTTCAAAATCCCTGTTTTTTGGTTGTATTTAGTTCAAAATCTTTGTCTTACTTAGTTCACACTACTGTCATTTAATTTATGTTTTTTTTTTGGGGGGGGGAGGGGGTGCTGCAGATTTCTCTAGGTGGGGTGGGAAAACTTTTTGGGGTGCCAACTATTTTTGGGGGGTGCGCACCCCCATAAAATCTGTCCCTTAGTAGAAATCAGACTGTGCTGACTATTTCACTGTGACTGCTATTATAACATCTGTCTATGCTAGAATTGCCTTTGCAACTTCTTACTCGTACCCAGTCTTACAAATAAGGATTTAAAAAATAATGGTGCATCACACACCTCAGTTCACTGATCTATATAAATCATAATTGATAACTGAGTACGAGTCAGTTGCAACTTGTTGTAAAAATTGCCTTGTGCATGTAACATTTCCTTTACTTAATCCATTATTTCATGTAATTTTGTTTGCTTTGTAACTTTTACTATTGACACATTTTAATAATTACTGTTACTGATACCATTGTCCCGGGAAATTTGACCCTCCCCCCAAAAAAATCCCCCCCCCCTGGGCCAAATATCCTCGGGGGTCATATTGCCCCCTCGGTGGCCCCACTCCCTAGGATATTTGGCTGGGTGATTTCGGGGGGGGGGGGAAATTTCCTGTGACACCGGAAAAACTTGCCATAAAGGCACGAAGTCTCTACATCAAGTCTGTAAATTGTTTTGCATTTTTTAAGCTTTGAGTCAACTGCAGACTATTTTCTCCAACTTACCACCTGAGGAGGTTAGACAGGCAATGGAAAATGCGGATGGATGCATTGAAGCAGCAACGGCTACGTTGCTAGGTGGGAGTGGTAAGTATACCATAAAGGCAAAAAAGATTTTTTAATTTTTACTTACTGTTACACACACACATACACACACACATATATATATGTGTGTGTGTGTGTATCTCCCCGGGGAGGGGCACTCAGGTTTAAGTGATTTCTTAGTGCAGGTTATTGACATTACGAATGTTAATAACCCCACTGAGAGGGAGAGCTTTTGGATCAAAAAACTTAATTGTTATGTGCCATGTGGGCTTAATTTAAGGAAGGAGATTTAATTTATGCTTATGCAAATTGTAGTAGAGTATTTAAGTGAGAGACGGAGATGATTTAGTGTTATTCTGATGAAGGGGCTTGTCCCCGAAAAGTGATCGATATCGTATAGATAGAGCATGTATATAGTTTGTTTTACCTCAAAAAGGTTGCCATAACAGCCCGTTTCATCCAAGAAGAATGATAAGAGCCGCCTGATTCCTCATGGATGAAACAGGCTGTTGTGGCAACCTTGTGTCCTGTAACCTTAAGAGAGGATTGATGAAATTTCTTCTTAATTCTTGTTAAAATCTATTAAAAACATTGTCTTAATACGTAAATATTTACAATTTTTCCTGTTGCAAAGGAGTCAATTCAAGGGGTGTGCACGAGTGTAGCAAATGTTACTGCAGTATCTCATTATGTATATCATATCTGACCTTCTGTAGCTCCAAGTGAAAAGGGAACGCTTGTTAATCTCCTTGTATTGATTTAGATGATGATCTTATAATGTCCATTTCTGGTATTGCTCCCGCGACAACGACTAGCAAAGATAGCGCAGAAAGTCAAGGTTGCACCTTACATGCACTGAGAAAAAATGTCATTGATGAATCGGTAGTGCAGCGATTCGTTGTTTCACGAGAAGAGGGCACGGAGGAATTAAAGAGGGACATAATGGGCTATTATAAAGATAAGACGTGTAAACTAACAGCGAAACCACGTGTAAGATTTGAGGGCGAAGAGGGTGTGGGAAGTGGCCCGGTTCGAGAGTTCTTCCTATGTGCCATGAAGCTTGTGCACGAAGGAATTGGTGGAACAGGAAAGCCAATACTCTTTTTCGAAGGAGAAGAAGATCACAAACTTCCGACCCATGATCAATCGGCGAGGTCAACTGGTGCATTCAAAGCCATTGGAAGAATCATTGGGCATTCTGTATTACACGGGGGCCCCTTGCTTTATGGCCTTTCGCCAGTGGTGAAGAGATACTGGGCTGCATCAGCATCAGATGGTTGCGACGGTTATGACGCGGAAACTATTCTTTCAAGTATAACTTTAGAAGACATACCTGACATAGACCTCCGGGGATATATATCGCAAGTAAGTATCATCGCTTTGTTCTATTAGCATTATCTTTCTCGCCTATGTGGCATATACATGATACGTTTTCCTCTATACCTTTATTTTTAGTGAAATTCGTACCAGTTATGGAGCTTTTACGAAGAGTAAAACAAGTTTACTGCACTAATTACCATTTGCAATACATCTTAAATACCACTGTTATTTGTAGCTTGAAGATGTTGCCCCAGATGTTAGAATCCCCGAAACAACTAAAGGAAGATCTCACACCATATGTAATTGAGTCGGGTCTGGATATTGATCTTCTAAATTCTGATCGAAAGCTAATTGCCCAAGGACTGATGATGTATCAGGTTATTGATAAGCGAAAGCAAGAACTAGACGACATATTGAAGGGTAAGCACAATGTTGTCACGAAAATACAAGCGAAGGCTCGAAAAAAAACATTGCTCTTCCACAATGTACTAAAGTACACTGTGGAAGACCAATGTTTTATTTCGAGCCTTCGCTCGCGGGAAGTGGTACAACAAGAGTAGTACTTGGATAACCTACCCGGAATTAATGTCTCCGTTTTTTCGCTGTTAACCCATTAAGCAGCAATGCGCTCAAATGCGCCCTATTTTATTCTTTTACTCTGTCTAACGCCAGACGGTTTTTCTCGTCAGGAGGAGATTTCGCACTCTAATGGGTTAAACGATTTTTCAATCTTATCTGACCTTAAAACCCCAATTAATGAAAAGCAAAACATGAATGTATAACCCAAGTGGTCTATAATACAGTTTATATCTCATTTGCGTCGGTTTTCTTTGTTCGTACGAGGTTTATAACTAGCTTATATACCTTGAATAAATGATTAGATGAAACTTGTAGACAAAACGCGAGAATTTTTCATCAAAAATTTTTGAAAATGACAAAATATGTTGGAAAACCTCCGCAAATGAGATATAAGTTAGTTATAAACCTCGAAAGTCGGTTTATAACTCTAACATAAGTCAATTTTGATATGTTACAGGACCCTATGTCTGCCATGTTGGGTTATTCCAGACTTCCAGAGTGAAAACCGCTCTGGAAAGGCCAGTTTATATGTTCTGGTGACATTAACTTACTGTGGCGAACATTTTGTGTCGTTACATGTTTAGGTATGAAAGAAGTCCAGTTGCATTCTTGTCTGGCATGCTGTACGGTTGATGTACTAGAAAGTATTTTTCCAACACATGACAAACAATTCATCACATTTGATGAAGTGAAGTCTGTGTCGGTTTTCGAAGAGACTGAAGGTCACGAAAATACAATTTCCTTCTGGTTTCAATATCTGTCAGATCTTGCAAAATATGAATCAGGTATCGTCATGGTCACAAATTATTACAGGTTTATAAGGCCTGTTTTGTACAATTTTGCATGCACGTATGTGTAAAAAAATGAAATAATTTTAAAAAATGATGAATATTCTTACATATATATAGGAAAACCTACCTTGACTGATATGTGTTGTTTTTGGACGGCCACAAATATCTTGCCACCAAGAAGTTGTTCGCTACAAGTGAAGTTTGACGATGGCACCGGTAAATTACCGTACGCGGAAACTTGTTTTTACTCACTCACCCTCCCTACGATGCATAAAACGTATGCAATGTTCAAGAAATATATGGACATAGCGCTGCTGCATGGTTCACTTGGAATAGACCATTCATGAGACAGCACTCATCTCATATGATTGTGTTGCGCACGTGCAGATTTCGCACAATTTGGTTTGATTATTTCTATTACACGAAACACCTGATCTACAGACCTTTGACTAATTTTCATATTACACTATAGGTACTTTATATTAAGTTGTGTTATGGTAAAATGAACCATCAAATTAAAAAATGTTGTTCGGTGGTTTGACATTAGTAAGGTTTATTAATAAGTAATGTATAAATGATAATCGATAATTAAGAATTAACAGTACAAGATTAGGCGAGTGAAACTTGTACTGTTGATCCTATAAATTGTACGAGCAATATCATTTGTTCACCTGCAAACTTTTAAATTTATTGTGGAACAAATTGTAAACATTGTCCATAACTCGTATGGCGACTGTGCGCTTTACTTTATTGTTGCAAGTGGGTATTGACAAATTCGATTGTCTCTAAATAAATATCAATGGCATAGGAGTTACTTTCTCGTATTGGATCTATTGAGGCAATAAGTTCTTCATAATGTTCTTCGGATAATGGGCAATGTGTTTCAGGCACTTCTACTGTATCGACATCAATTTCTGCTGAAAGAGGACCGTCCCAGTCAATTCCATATTGTTCAAACTCCTCCTATGTAAGGAAAAGTAACATATTAATTTTAATACAATTTTACAAGTGATGGAAGTTTGGCTTTGTTTTCCATTTCTTGAGGTAGTGTGAAACAACAAGCGAAAGGCATTCACACGTACTTAAATGTATGTTGTTTACATCAAACCTTACCATTGTAGTTGGCTGGTACAAATTGTCAATGGCAACATGTTGGGAACCCCTATACTGGAGCAGGCCAAGAATATAAAGTTGCATAGGGCTTCTGTTTCCAGCAGTCCTAATTCTATGTTGTAAATAACCTTGCCTCCAACTCTCCAAGTGCCGGTTGATCCGTGGAACATATACGTAGTGTAGTGCAAAGATGTGATGTGGGTTTGATGATTCTAGCCTTCCATTATCTTCCAGGTGGTAAAATAAGTGGTAGTATACATAAATAACTCCTTCAAATAGATCACGCCACAATCGTTCAATCCTCTGATTGTGAACGCTTCTACCAGTTATCATACTTCCCCTATCCGGACCTCGCAGAGGATGTTGTAGCATGTATACAGAGACTGCGGTATTCTCGCCTCCCTTGTCCGACCGAACTCTTGATGGTAAACCGTACTCGTTCACAGCACCAATAAAACAATCCAAGACTGTTTCAGCACGATTATTTGTATTGCACTTTAAATAGACTGGTATTCGTGTATAGCCGTCTATTCCACCATGTATTACCATTTTCCACCTGAGTAAAAATTCAAGTTTCTATCTCAATCAATTGAAAGATTCAAGATTATACTACTCGGACGACTTGTACTAAGTCCCTGTTTCTTTGACCCACTATAGTGGAAATAACATGACGCAGCGCGCAGAGGACGGCGTGAAATAAGGACTTATCAACATTGGACACAGTATAAAATACAGAAGAAGTCGTTTAGATTTCTCATTTTAAATTTAGCAAGTCTTTAACTTTCATGTTCTGTTTATTTTTATTTGTTCTTGTTTTGATTTTGTTTAGTTTTTCTCAATTTAGAAGTAATTAGTTGTTCATATAGTAATCAGTTTTGAACAGATACATTTACTGGGATTTGTGTTGGCTTTACTTCCGGTCCGATGTTGACAAGTCCCTATTTCGCGTTGCCCTCCAACGAGCTACGTCATTATTTGCAATATAGTGGATACGGGAAATGGGGACTTGGAGCAAGTCTAACTGCTCAGGTACACCGGAGCGAGGGTAGGGCACAGGGGGGCAATGTCGATATAAGGGCAATTAGGGGGGGGCACTATAATTCAACAAATAAAGGCAATTAATTTAACCAAAAAATGGTAAACATTTTTTTCTCACCCCTAACTTTTAAAAATTAACCTGATTTTTGTCACAATATTCCAGAAAATTTAACATACATTTCAATATTTAACATGTCAATTTCACCAGTAATTCATACTTTTTAATCATTATCCCTCATATTTTTCACAGACTATCGTTTTTTTTATCTAAAGGCACTTTCGCCCCCCCCCCCTGTCCCCCTTATTAAAAGGCAAGGGGGGCGATGCCCTCACTGTATCCCTGCTAATACTCCGTAGTACATGTGTACTTATGTGCGTATACTGTATGTCAAATGTGTACTTATACAGACATACTGTAAGTGTGTGCACATTTTTGATGTATGTATTATTATGATTACTATTGGTTTATGTACCAAAAAAATGCCGGATCAATGTCAAATGTAAATGATTATTGCTACATGTAATAATTTTATATCAAATTAATGTCCATCTGACTTGATTAATTTATGGTTTCCATCTATGTGCCACAATGCTAATGGCCCAGACACACTGTATTTCCTTCTAGGAGTCAAACATAACCACCTGACTGCAACTCCTTGGGGGTCAACTCGTTGCATGGATTGCCTGACTCGAATTTGTGATGGCTTCAATCCAGCAACAGACAATTGGGAAATGACTCTTCTGTAACCTGCATTTGGAAACTCCAGTAGGATTTCTCTGACCTTACTATCAAGCTCTTCATCTGAGAGATAAGGCAAATTATTTCTTATAGCTAGTCCATACTTGTTCATGCGCCTGAATATAGTACTTGGTGACACTCCCAAAGCTCTAGCAATATCTGGCACTGAGAACTGATAATTTAGAAAATAATTCAGTAGCTCCTGACTTATATCAAAGTAAGGCCTTCCAGCTCTACCAGAATGAACAACGTTTATCGTAAAAGGTCTTGTAGAGGTCATATGTTCTGCTCTTTGTAAATTTTGCATGGCTTCAGTGACAAGGTACTGGATTTCATCATCAACAAGGTTGACATCACAAAGGCGAATAATGTGAGAAGCCAATTGTTCAAGCCTAAATACTACACCATCTAATTGTTCGGAATCTAAATTTTCAATCTGTCTCAACAAATCCAGCAAAGTGCCTCTTAACTGGACTCTCAATATTTCCTGTTCTTGATTCATTTCATTTTAGAAGACACCCCACTATTCTCATTTGAAACCTATTTTTAAAGAAAAACATTTTCCATTATGAAAATACAGTGAAGCTAACAGTTAAATATCAAACTATGGGGGTGGGTTAGGCACATAAGGTCTGGAGGCAGATCATTAATGAGGTATGGACTAATAGCGGCTGCTCAAGCGCCATTTGTAAGCTAAAAGTCTATCTCGGTCTGCTTCACGTCAGTCCGGTTTTATCTATCTATTCATAATGTAACCAGTCACTGAAAAACCCTGATAGGGGAGTGTGCTGTGAAATATCTGTATCTGTAACTAATATACATGACTATATTGACTGAGTATTGTCATAATTTAACACTCACCCCCTACGTACGAAGGACTCTGAGATTTTAAATGCTATACATTAAAAAAAAACAAGGTCTCTTGGAATCTCCAAGCATTTTAGGAAAATATCTCCTTTAAATGCGGTTTTTACCCTATAGTAGCTTGTTTCAACATATTTGCAAAATATTTGCACTCTACTCCGAAATCATAGCATTAAAATTAAATGTATATGGAGTTGATCATAATTGTTATATGGCTGGTGCTGAAAATATAAACGTGATTGACTCTAAGGTAGGCCAAGTTAGCCCCAGGTATTCTCAGACCTGCCAACTCTCACAGTTTGGTAGTGAGACTCACAATTTTGTATGCTTTCTCACGGTCTCACAACAATATCTTTAAATCTCACAATTTTTGAGGAAATTTGTTTATAGTGTATTTATATTTGGCAGGTCTGTATTCTAAGGTAGTTAAATGTACCCTATTATATCCTAAGCTGCCCTAATGTCATTGTATTTTGATATACTATATAATGAGGATTAGACTAAGTGTGTATTTATTACTAAAATACGGTCATTTGGTTTTTTTTATTATTATTATTATTATTAATGGTTTATTTGCATATTATCGCATTGAAAATGAATTACAATATGCTTACATGGAAATATACTAAAATTTACAAAAATGCTAAAATATTAATTACTATATCTAATATAAATGTTAAAACCTAATATACAAATTAAGACCATAAAGGCCTATACGTCAACTTGACTATAGCACATTGCCGGGATAAAACTGTTCTTAAACCTCTCAGTTCTACATTTGGGAAGCGATAATTGATTATTATTTCTCAAACTCCGTCCATGGACGTTTCCACGAGTTGACGGCAACAAGTGGTACAGTTTCGAGCAAGGATTAGCAATCTTTTGTAAGGTATTCTGACATATTGACTGCCTTCTATCATCAAGGCGAGAACAACGACTGATAGATAGGGCTTCCGCATAATCAGTGAAAGGGTACAGAATTCGCAGAGCACGTTTCTGCACCCGTTCAATTTTGTTGGAAAGATACTGAGGTAGGCTGGTATGCCAGACTGCACAAGCATATTCCAAAACAGATCTGATTAAGGCGTTATAGATTGAGAGCAAGTCAGCGGGTGGAATTCCAGATCGACGCAACACCCGAAGGATGTAAAGGCGTTTCGACGCTTTTTTTACGATAATTGCAACGTTATCATTCCATTTAAGGTGATTATTAATAGTCAAACCCAAAATCTTGAAAGATGTAACCAGTTCCAATTGTTGATCATTAATGTGTAATGGAGTATAGTTTTTATCACTTTGTCGTAAAAAGCTGACAACCATTTCCTTGCATTTCAACCCATTCAGTTTCATATCATTCTCACATGCCCATTGTTGGAGTTCATTGAGTTCAGTTTGTAATCGCGATTCCTCAGTTTCTTTTATAACCTCAGAAATCGTTACATCGTCAACGTATTTCCAATGGAGGAGTTTAGGGACTTCATTTTCAGATCATTAATCATAACTAAGAACAAGATAGGGCCAAGTTTTGTTCCTTGAGGGACACCGCCATTTACATAAGCCCACTCCGAGCGAGACTCATTAATTTTCACTGCCTGACGACGATTTGAAAGGAAATCACATATCCATGGGATCAAACATCTTCTTACTCCAAGGGCTATGAGTTTCGCAATCAAAATGTTATGGTTGATTCTGTCAAAAGCTTTGGAGAAATCCAAAAAACAGATACGTAGATACCGTTTTGGGCTATCCAGTGCCTGCAACCAGTTGTTAATCATATCAATAAGGGAGAATGTTGTAGAAGATCCCCTTAAGCTACCAAATTGCTTCGGATCGATTTTGTCTTTGACATCATCAATCATCCAGGTAACAACGAAGTCTTCCAAAACTTTTGACAGAGTGGCAGTGAGGGCAATTGGACGGGTTTCATCCTCACACGTTATCGGTTGGGCTTTCGGGATTGGGACGATGTTAGCATCTTTCCAAGGTATAGGGAATTCAGAGTGCAATAAAGACTTGTTGAAGATTTTGGCTACCGGATCAGCTAACTCTTGAGCATATTGACTAAGCACTCGATTAGGAATACAATCAGGGCCGTTGGATTTAAATGCCTTTATTTTGAGCAGTTTAAAACAGACCTGTGCGATTGAGATAGATGGTGGGGGTTCGGGAGCTGGAAGGTACGCAGGCAAAGTACCAAGGTTGAGAGGAGGAAGGTCAGCGCTGGCTGATAAAAAGTGCTCATTTAGTTTACCACACAACTCAAGATCGGACATTGGTACCCCATCGCTGGTAATGTCAAAATTAGGCGTTGACTTTTCCTTACCGGTGATCTGTTTAATGTAGTTCCACCATTGCCTTGGGTTGCTATTTTTTAGATTTTTAATCTTCCTGGCGTAATACGTATGCTTTTGTGATGAAATTTCTCTTTGTACCTTATCCCTATGATGTAACCAAACTGCACGGTCGCCGCTGTGGAATGCACGCTGTCTTTGGATAATCAACTGTTTCAACATTGGCGTCATCCATGGTTTGTCAGTTGCATGAATCTTAATGGTTTTGGTAGGGAAAAAGAGGTCAATGGCGGAGCTAAGTTCAGATGTAAAAGAAGAAGCCAAAGCGGTGGCAGAATCGGGATGCTGAACATCAGAAAACCATACGTGGTCACTGCACCATCTTCCAAACGCCGCACACGATGACTGGGTAAAGCGACGCACTTTACGTTTTGTTATTCCTTTCTTTATCAAACAAGCAGCACTGTCGGTATTTCTACTCCAATTGATAACATGATGATCAGATCTGCCCAAAGGTGCAGTTACCGTAGGAGTGCTGTAGAAGTGGGACATATTGGTTATTATTAAGTCCAAGATGTTATTGCCACGCGTTGGTTCCCGAACTACTTGTTTTAGATTGTGACTGGAAAGGAGGTCAGCAATGTTTAACATGTTGAAGTCTCCAGTGATTACAATGCCACAGTCCGGAAATGCTGAACAAATCTGGTCTAAACTGTCAATGATATGTTTTATTAAGTCTGACCCTTCCTGCGCGGAAATACCCGGGGGACTGTAAACAACTCCCAACATTATGCCTGACAAAGGGCGAGGAAGGCGAGTTGGGCGAAGCCAGATCCACAAGCATTCAAACGCTGCATTTTCAAGATCTAGCCTTCTTTTACTGGGGATATCGGATGATATATAAACGCAAACACCGCCACCTCGACCAAAGGCTCTGTCCTTTCGGTAGATGTTAAAACCTTCGATAGAGAGTAAATTATCATCAATGTCCTCACTTAACCAAGACTCTGTAATAGCTATAACATTTGTAGGTTGGAAAGATATGCGCGCGGAGAGTTCATCGATCTTCGGTAATAATGAGCGAACATTCATCAAACTAGACCGGGGAAACATTTTTTTTTCCATTTTGGAATAATAGCTATTATGGTTTTGTTCAGCTTCAGTGCCGTTAATTGTTCTTTTAGCCGAAACTTGAATATGTAATAAGTTCGTTCGGTTTACACCGTATTGCTTTGATAAAACATGTCCTTTACGTCGTGCAACCGGTTCTATACTGCGAATAAACATACCATTAGAGTGTCTTAGATGATTACCTCCTCGTTGACCTCTTACAAGGTTCAATATACCGTAGAACTTAAGTTTTTTCAAGACTTCGCTTGATAGCTGCCGATTCACTGATCCATGTCCCGTTAAACGATTATACGTCAACTTGCCAAGATTTGAGATCGAAATAAGTATATTTCTCGAATAAACCAGCATGTTGTGAGGCATTAAGACAAATTCTTCTCGTATCAGTTAAGTATCAGTTAAATCCAACCGACAAATAGTAAATAAACGACGGAATCTTTAAAAACTGAGGAGCTAAAATATTTTGCAGCCACCCACGGGCGCATTTCCAATGGCCGTTGTCCTCATAGTAATAATGAGCATTCACTGACGTCACCGGAGCAAAAATGCACCGGTGAATTTGGCGCGCTTGCCGGTGACAAAAGTCCGTCGCTTCCAGGAACCACGAACCGCGGACTTTGGAAAGTCTAGGTAACATATTGAAAAACTGTCTATCTCAACTCAAAATCAGCCTCGAAAAACATATTGAGCACGAGAGCACTTCTCTTTGATCTTTCAAAGGAATTTGGTGGAAAAACTTGAAAACCTTCCATCGACTCGCCATCATTTCATCTTCGGCCGGGTGGCGAGCATTGTAAGGACCTTTGAAAGTGGTAACAGCTTTACCCGTTGCAAAAATTGGGGTGTGCGTGTCAGATAAATGTCATCTTTGTAGTGGTTCTTCGGCGTAGGAAAGTGCACCGGCTGGCCTTCCAATAACAACATCAAATCCTTCCATGGTATCATTTCCCTGTCCCATCGAAAGTCGTTTAGGAAAATTATGTCCGCGTCCGCTACGCCCACAACAGCGTACTTGTCGTTAGCAGGGTTGCTAGAGGTGTTGAACATAGTTTGTAGTGGTTTCAAAAGGAATGTTTTGCCGCAATTTGTTGGGCCAGTGATAAATAGGTTGCGGTTTTTACCACGCCGTTTGTTAAAAGTTCACGCACAGAGCTAGCAAATTCGACTGGTTCCACACCGTTCTGGTCGAGCACCTGAGTTGCACACTCAAACCACGAACCTTGACACTCCGGTGCACATTGCCGCTTGGAATATTCGTAGACTACATCCATGCGAGAAACCTCCTTCTTCTTAAGCTCTGCAGACACCTCTTCCATTTTCCACGTATTGGTAATCAAATCCTGCAAGGACTTGCTGGAGCGGTTCAAGCAAAAACTTGCGAGGTCTTTTTTGCCAGCCTCTTTTTGATTTTCGCGTGCGCGAAAAGTTTAGTCTCTGTTTTAACGTTGTTTTCAACAAGGAACTCGGCGACGTTTAAATTTGTTAGTCTTTGTTGTTTATTGTATGCGGTTGACGATGATCGGTCTTCTGAGCTGCTTTTTCGCTTGTTTCGGTTGGTCTGAATACATCTTTTAGTTTTGGAGAACCGTTATCCTTCAAATTAGGGTGCCCACGACTATGGAAAACGCTCGTGTCCGACTTAGAGACATACTGATATGCAGAATAATATGAGTCATGATTGTCTGAAAAGTGAACACTTATGCCGTAATGCTAGGACAGGTATTCCTTAGCATGGAACCACCGCTTTGGACCAGTTAACTTAATGCTCACATGAAAGTGTTCACCGCCATCCTGGAGGTTTTCTAAACAGCAGGCCCAATAGGTAGCCTTGACTTTGCTTCTACCGCTGTTTTAGCATTTAAAAATGCTTCGTCTTCAACTGCCTTCCCAAAGTGTTGTCTGCTTGGAAATTTCAGTCTGTCGGCCTGGCTGTATGTTATCAGGTAGACTCTTCGGAGAGTTCTATCATTCATTTTAAGCACTATCAAATCTATCTGCCTGCAAAAAAGCAATCATGCAGTCTGTGACTTATGCTCGTAGATACTGGTTTCAACGTATTGAAAAACTGTAAATAAACATCTTCTGCAGCTTTACTTACCAGAGTTTGTTTATAGATAAGAATGGAAAGGTTCCTTACATTGCATTATGCTGGATATAGTTTTCCTTGGTCATTGTAAAGTATTTTTCCGAGCAAAAACAATCGTTCACTACCATTTCATACTTCCCGCCAAATTTGTTGTTTTGATTTACTTGGTGTAATTTATCGCGACAAATTTTTCGTTGCAAATTATTTTCAAAATGGCGGATGGCAACGCGAGAATCTCGAAAATGCTCTCATGAATATGTAAGCACATATATACATATATTTATTTGTATTGAAATGGCTTGCAGTATATAAAATTGCTTTTATATTTCTTTCAGTCTCAGACAATATTGGACAATAATTACCAGACAAGTGCAAAATCCTCGCTTCCCCTTCTTGCAATGTTGTTGTAGCAGTCGTAGCTTGTAGAAATGTCCAAAATCCAAATGTTTTTCTAAATTAACAACATTGTGGAAGGGGGGAGGGGTGAAATGTGACTTGTCCGAATATATTTTGTCCAAGATTGTAGGTGGAATCTCCGTCAAGTGGGATAAAATTTTGCATATATGAAGATTTTATCCCCATTTTGAATTATGATACAATATTGAACCATAGGCGGCCCACTAAATGTTGTTAACTTCCATATATAGCTACTGCAATAAAAATTGTTAAAGAAAGTCAGAACAGCTCAAAAAAGCAAACCGGCTGTAGCTTACTAAAGACAGGATTAAATATAATCACTTCGTGTGACTCATTGCATGGACAGCGATATAACGTGATATAAATAGTATCCTAAGGCCGGGAGGCAAGATTTTGAACTTGTTGGAATAAACGTTTCCAATTTTCCATAGTGCATCAGTCACTATAAGTCAATTAAGAAAAGGCTTTTACTTCTTCCAGGGTTTTTGATCATTTTGGCAATCCATACGATGGGCGGCCCTTTGTCACATTGCCCGCGTTAGTATTTGTATGCTAAGCAGTTTTATTTTTTCCGGCAGTCGTAATCCCAGGTCCGTAACGAAAATGGCGCCTTCTGATTGGTCAACGAGAGGTCCATATGACACGCTACGCCGGGCGAGCTTGGGAAACCGACTTGAGGAAAAAAGGGATTTTGTTACATGCGTGATTCAAACATTTTGTACTTCCATGGATAGACGAACACAATATCAATATTCCATGCGCAGGATTACCCATAACGTTCATTTATCCATCCGTTGAAACCTTCTTTAGCCATCATAATCTTTCGTATAATTGTATCATATCAAATATGGTAATTTTCTCCAATTATGTCCATCTGTTCGGTTTGTTTTCGTGCCTTTTCTACTAATCTTCTCTCCATAAAAGGGAATTTCACTGGAGATATTAATTGTTTCGTGTCATATGCGTTTCAAAAATTTGCAAGCAAGTTTTCTAAATTACTTTACTGCTTGCAATATCTTGACACAAAGCGAAGTAACTGATAATTTCGTTCGAGTTTTTATTAACAGCGTGGTATAGCTTGGTTTCTAGAACCTTGTCGAAAGGTAAACGTAACAGTTTTAAACATATACAATTGTGCACGTGTATTTTAATATTTTCGCATTTATCCTCATATTTAAAACGGAAAGCAGGAAAGATTTGTACTGACACAAGACTAACAATGGAACCAAACACGTTTATTAACGCGTTATTTCTGTGTCTTGTGAATGTTGCCTTCATGGTTGCAGGAATATTTCTGAATGCTGTTGTTATAATCAGTCTGTGGAGGTCGTCACAGCTTCGAAAGAAACTATGCTACTTTATGATTCTTGTTTTATCTTGTTTTGATCTGGCTGTAGCCTGCATCAATCATCCTCTCCTTATATTATCAACTATTCTATGGTCTATGGAAATTTATTATGGAGAATTTGAAGTCATACGGGTATACACAGGTTACGTCTTAGGAGGTTTTTCAATGTTTGCACTATTAACGCTGACTATCGAACGATTTCTGGCCATAACATATCCATTTTTCCATCAAACTGCTATCACCAAAAAAAGACTTTTACTTTTTCAGGCATTTTTAATCATCACAACAGCCAGTTTGTCGCCACTAACGCAATTTAACAGGAAAATAGGTATTATTCTAAGAGCTGTGTTCATGTTATTCTTCTTGTTCGTGTTCGTTTGCTTAAACTACAAAATGTTTATCATCGCTAAGTCAAAACACAACGATGAAAAGGTTTTTCCAACTAGTACAGCAACCTCCGATAATCAAGAAAGAAAAAGACGGAAATTGAATTTCAAAAACATTTCCACATGCTCTTTGGCAGTTGGCTGTTTTTTCATCTGCTCTTTTCCAAGAATTATATATTATGCTGTGCGTTTGACATCAAACATGCCTTTTTACAATAGACAAGTCTTGCTATTTAAAATGTGGTCCGGTACGACTTTCTTTATGAACTCGATGTTCAACTGTCTGATATTTTTTTGGAGAAACTCCGTCCTCCGTCGCGAAGGAACGAAAATAGCAAAACGCTTTGGAAGTGCAAATTCATAACCGGACGTGTTAAGCAACATGATAATTGTTGGATATCATAAGGTGCAAGTTACGATTACCATTTCTATATATAGCGCAAATTTACATGTGGATATGATCAAATGCGCTTTACATCAAGTATTAAATATTTACTCTAAGACAGTTTTATCTTTATATACAACAATTGTGATACAATAATATTATTGTTTGTGGAAACACCACGTAAATTTATTACTGGAAAGCTTTCGATCCGTATGCCCGGATCTTCATCAGTGCTAATAATATGCGACTTGTTCAATTGTAATTGTGATATTACTTTCTCGACTGTGTTTACCCCAACCCACCCTGTCAAATTCCTTGTGGAAGGAAACCGGAGCCCTCGGAGAAAACGCACGACTTTCGGCAGAGCGTTGGCACATGAGTCCGTACGTAGCGAGAATCGAACCCACGAACTCAAGGTGAAAGGCGCGCTTGGTTCTGACGACTGCGCCATGCTTTACGCAGAAAAAGTTCTCTGGTTACAAAAAGAAAAACCTTTCTAGGGCTCTCAAGGCACCGTGATCCAAACTAGTTCAACATTTTGATCCAACGTCATCCACGATGCTGAATACAACATTGTCTTTTATACATGCTTAATGTCGAATCATGTTGGAACACAGGAAGCGCGACTATGTCCAATTTAAATGTATCTTAATTAAATTTTAAAACGAACATGTCCATGCATAATCTCCAAAAAATTACATCAAAGCAGTCGGTGTAGAATCACGAGAGGCGGGTAATGTGCATACATGCAGTTATATCAAAGCGGTTAGTGTAGAAAACACGCGATGCGAAAAAAAATACGCGGGGGAAAAGCGTGGTAAGAGGAAAGGGTTGAAACTGATGCGCTTATCTGATTAGTGTGTTCCATAAGTTGATTGGGCAGCTGTTTCTCAACAGAAGCCATCGGATGGCAAATCGATCCCTGCTAAGAACTATTAACTAGAAATACATGTGTGCAGCAAACCCTCGCCTATATTTTCCAACATTGATTTAACACGAAGTATTAGTAATTAGCGAATATTATGTTGCCATGGGAACACGATAAAAAATTCTAAATGGCAAAAATAGTTCAAAGAGTAGTACTTTTAACTATACAACAATGAATTTTCGAAATATATACTGCACGTATGTTATTTTGCATTTTGTGAAAATGGTAAAATGTTTTGAAATGTTCATTCAACTAAACTGCTTATGCCGACGAACCGTTTTTACTTAATAAAACAAAATAAGTTCAAATTTCAAATAAGCAGGATAATTGATGAAACTTAATACAGTTTCGCTGAAACGGAAAGCAGAGCATGTTTTACGCAAGAAATTATAGAAAAAAAAATTCATAAAGAACATTTAACTTTTAATGTTTGTTCGTTCACGAACACGCAACCAACCATATATATATTTACCTCTGGCTCGGTAACTTAATTCACCACGACTTCGTCTTAACATATATACAAGAAGAAAATGTTCTCGAGTTTGTATTTCATAATTTTCATACCCAGCGTATAAGCAGAAAGATAAAGTCTGCCGCGGTTTGGTTTTGAACCCGCGACCTTTGCATTACTAGATCGACGCTCTACCAACTGAGCTACACAGTCAGACGGATTTAAGATATATATATATATATATATATATATATATATATATATATATATATATATATATATATATATATATATATATATATATATATATATATATATATATATAGTTTTTTCGTTTTACCTCAAAAAACCACACGAAAAACTATATTACGCTCTATCTATATGGTATTGAGCACTGTTTGTGTTTCGTAAACCAAAATCTTAAGCTATATATATATATATATATATATATATATATATATATATATATATATATATATATATATATATATATATATATATATATATATATATATATGTGAAGTAAAGATTGTTGCTCAAGCTTGTATTCAGAAAATATCTCCCAACGGGAATCGAACCCGTGTCTCCCAATTGGCGGTTCGGTTGTTTTACCACTAGACTATAGGGTTTCAGGACAGCAATGCGATGTTAACTAGAGACCTGGTTCCTACCGTTTATATGCGTCCTTTGTACTTAAAGGCTCATCATACTATTTTGTAATGCGATATTGTTGTGTTTGTGTGTTCATATACTAAGACTAGTACATGTTGTAAGCTTGGATATATGTGAAGTAAAGATTGTTGCTCAAGCTTGTATTCAGAAAATATCTGAACTCCCAAGGGGAATCGAACCCATGTCTCCCGATTGCCGGTTCGGTTGTTTTACCACTAGACTATAGGGTTTCAGACAGCAATGCGATGTTAACTAGAGACCTGGTTCCTACCGTTTATATATGCGTCCTGTGTACTTAAAGGCTCATCATACTATTTTGTAATCTTTACTTCACATATATCCAAGCTTACAACATGTACTAGTCTTAGTATATGAACACACAAACACAATATATATATAAATTATATATATATATATATATATATATATATATATATATATATTATAATTATATCATAATTTCCAAATTATGAATTATATATATATATATATATATATATATATATATATATATATATATATATATATATATATATATATAAATGCAAAGCTCACTTCCCTTGTGGTCGTGTGAGCACTCTGGCCCCATTACGTTCTGCGCATGTCTGGATGCGTTGAGTCACCGTGTTGTACCACATGCCTTGATGAGAGCAAGTTCAAGGGGTATAAATACGAGTGTCTCACGTATCTAGACGTGTACCAAGCTGCACTGACGAGGCGTTGAACGCCGAAACATGCATGTCTGCAGATTGTACTATTACGCTCCTTCACTTCGGTGTTGTTGAGCACTCTGCGGAGTTGTTAATGGGTGCCTATTAGCGATAATTCCCTTGTGGTCGTTTGGGCACTCTGGCCCCATTTCGTTCTGCGCATGTCTGGATGCGTTGAGTCACCGTGTTGTACCACATGCCTTGTGGTACAACAGTTCAAGAGCAAGTTCATGGGGTATAAATACGAGTGTCTCACGTATCTAGACGTGTACCAAGCTGCACTGACGAGGCGTTGAACGCCGAAACATGCATGTCTGCAGATTGTACTATACAGGGTGTATAAAAAAAAACTGAACAGATTTGAAATTGCTCTCAATTTCGCAAAACACCTATTTGTATCTGTTTTTTTATATACATAGCTTCTTTGGGTACTTATAATGTAAAATAATGAAAAAAAATTCTCGAACTCAAATTTTGTGAACCAGGGGGGGGTGTCTTTTCCTACAAACTAAAAATGGCTCGCGCACAAAATTTAAAAGCTGTAATAATATTTTGAGTTGATAGATTGAAAATTTGTCGGGTTTTGAATTACTGTACAAAATTTCAGACAATTTGGTTTAGTTTAAGCCCTTTAACTATTCATTTTGTTCTAAAAAGTCAGCCTTTCGCATGCTTAATTAATGCCTTTACCTAATTTGCATATTGCTGACATATGCAAATTAGGCAAATGCATTAATTAAGCATGCAAATTTTTCGGGAAAATTGTAACTTTGCGTGAATAGTTAAGGGGCTTAAACTAAACCAAATTGTCTGAAATTTTGTACAGTAATTAAAATCCCGACAAATTTTCCATCTGTTAACTTAAAATATGATTGCAGCTTTTAAATTTTGTGCGCGAGCCATTTTTAGTTTGTTGGAAAAGACACACACCCCTGGTTCACAAAATTTGAGTTCGAGAAATTTTTTTCATTATTTTACATTATAAGTACCCAAAGAAGCTATATATATAAAAAACCAGATACAAATAGGTGTTTTGCGAAATTGAGAGCAATTTTAAATCTGTTCAGTTTTTTTGATACACCCTGTATATATATATATATATATATATATATATATATAAATATAAATATATATATATATATATATATATATATATATATATATATATATATATATATATATATATTATATATATTATATATATATATATATATATATATATATATATATATATATATATATATAAATCATCACGATATGGCATTTATAATTTTTATATATGTTAATCACCGTAGGTAAGTATTTTTTAGTGAACAGGAAAAGCTGAGACTGAGTCGGATTCGAACCGGCGACCTCTGGGTTACAAGCCCATCGCTCTACCAACTGAGCTATCAGCCCGATGGTATATTCGAACCCAACCAGTCACAACCATTCCTGCACACCCACATGGCCACTCACCAAAGCCATGCCAAATTTGTTCACCATTTCGACAGTAACATGTCTACCATTTCGACAGTAACATATATATATATATATATATATACATATATATATATATACATACGCGAGGGGTGGCTAGTTAGCTGGGGGCACGGGGAAACTGTCCCTTGGTTCCCCCTCTGAACGGCCCAGCAAACCAGGACTTTCAATTTCTCTAACCTCAGCACCAACCCTAAATTTGGAAATAGCCCCTGAGACTCGTACCCAGGCGCGAATATCGTACTAAAAATAGAAACACTACAGTGTTTTTATATAGATCAGTGGCTAAGATGAGCGAACGCTTGGGCATAGAATAAAGATCCATATACAAGGGCCACTTACGTCGGAAGCTTTGAAGTTTCTGTCCTCGCGCATGTCGCATTACGCATGTTGGCCGCCATTTTCCTAGCCAGTCAATGACATTTTTTGGCCAATAAACACGCTGTACTGGCTGGCTGCTCCGCCTTCTGGCCAGTAAACTGCATATTTTTGCATAAAAAAACGAGGACACGTTGCACCCCTGAGTGGCCCTTCTATATGGATCTTTATTCTATGGCTTGGGGGTGCTTGGGGAGGACAGGACGGGACCCCTGCGCGCTCGCTCATCTTAGCCACTGATCTATATAAAAACACTGTAGTGTTGCTATTTTTAGTACGATATTTGCGCCTGGGTACGAGGCTGACCCCCTACCCTAAGTTCAATGTTGTGAACCTGGCCCAAAAATAATCGAAATAAACTTTAATTTGGTAATTCATGGGTGGAGGCTAATTTTAAGGAAGCGCAACTGAGGGCGCTTTCCATTTACATGGCCAGACCGGTCAAATTGTTGTATTGAACACAAAACTTTTGGGCTTCAAACATGTCTGACCGGAAAAGTTAGCCAAAATTAGAATGAGGTTCATCTTCGTTAGATATTTTAGAAACATATAGACCGTATTTTTCCATTGATACAGAGACAAAAATTCGGGTCTGACCGGTCAGGCCATTAAATGGAAAGCGCCCTGAGTTGTAGTCTGAACCAGCTATCTCCAAGACTGCGCATAGCAATATGCTTCAGCTTAATTAATCAGAAGAAGATAATTGCCAAATGTCAGGTAAGAATCATGGTGTTTCTGGAGTAATAATATTTTAAAATTACTTTGATTTCTGCTCTCATTAATTAAAATATCCACTTTATATGCACTAATTTTATTTTCGTCTTGTTTCGTTTTTTTTTTCTCAACAGCATGACGTACATTTACAGCGTATAGTCCACATACAAGGACGTCATCGGGGTGTTCTTACTTCACAGATGAGCCAGGAAAAGAGCAGTGCTAGCACAGTAGAACATAGCAAAATCTAAAAGGAAAATACTGCTTTAAATCATAGCAGTTGATGTTCATATTGATTATTATAAAGAAACGTACCGTTGAGCCAGGGAGATAAATCATCCAATCACAATGCTGGAAGATTTATTTTAATTAGATGCAATCACTCGCAGCGAGCTTACGAGTTGGTTTTGCGATGAGTGGAAAAGAGCCTTAAGACCGTTACATTTCTCATTGCTTCAATTGAGCGCATGCAGCTTTCATTTCGGTGCGAAAGACAAATACGTCGGAATAGAACTATTATTACCGATATGCACAGACATCGACAATCGAAGAAAAAATGTAAATGGTTCTAAGCTTCAGTAAATATACCGGCAAGAGCCGATTGCGGAGTATTGTGTAGCCGGCAGCAAAGGCGGGAACGTAAAGTTTTAAGAACCAGCGTAGCATAACTATCGGAGCATGTTCCGGTTTCTGTAGCATGAATGGATGGGATGCTAGTCCATGGCAGATTGGCAAGTACCCGCACGCCCATGTATTTGGACAGGTTTCGCTGACAGTTTGCTGTATCCATGAATAGAGAGTTTGGCAACCTAGAACAGCAACGACAACGGCGTAAATATAATTGCTTATATTGTTGTGTTTGGACCAAACTATACGTTACTACACTTAATTTGCCTCTTTAGGTATTCCTGTTTCTTTCAAACGTACCCTTATTAAAGTAAAAAGTAGTCCGCGAATTCAAATAAAACACCTCAAATAACATCGAACGAATTAACTGTTGCCGTAGTCATGCACCGTTAAAATGATGCAAATCACAACAACTACGGCATTGCACAACGCTTAAGACCATGTAATTTAATGCATTCGCCTTTGTCTATTAGGATTAATGCTATTGTTGATGACCATATTGCCGTTGCCGTTTCCCTTGTAGTTGTCTCTAATATACCTCTGGGTGGAGAGAGCAATCCTGTAAGTAATTTAGTTCGGTTACAAGTCATAAAATTACAAGCAATCGTTGCCTTTTTAATAAGTAACTGAAACTGTAACTAGTTACATTTTGAAAAGAGGTAACTGGTTACATTTTAGCTTAAAATGGAACGAGAATGCGTTACATTTTCAATCGTTACGTTTTCACGTTAAAATATAGTACTTGCTACTTTGTTTATACTATCAACGTGTATTATCTTAGTGTTGTTGATAAACTGGTCCACTGTACAATAACTCCCCTCTAATTGCCGGCTTGCAGTTATAAAACCTGCAGATGTAATTTTAAATTATTAAACAAGTTACAGAGAATTGGAAGTGTAAGTTTTTAGTAGTCACAAAATTAGTGAAGTAACTTTGTAAAACTGTAACTAGTTACAATTTTTATGCATATTAACTTTTAGCGGTACCTAATTCCATTTTCGAGCATGTAGGTGTAGGTGTAGGTGTAGGTGTAGGTTTAGTGTAAATATAGTTCCAAAAAATCAATACCTTTTACAGCACCTGCCTCCTCCGTAGGCCCTCGTTGCGTCATGGAAAGGTCACAGATAATCTGGCGAGGGCCTGCGGTATCTTGTCAAAAAATGGCGCCGGCGTCACGTCAGCAAGTAAATTATACATAATCTTGAATATAAACTGGCTATAAAAAGGCGGCGTGAAACTTGTAAATTAAAATGGCGACTCAAAGGACGTGGAAGGAAGCATTTTTTAACGATTAGGTTTGTTTTCCACACCAACGTTGCACGAATAAAGCTGCGTTCCTTAACGAAGCAGGCTTAGAACAACATTTATTCATTAGTCGATGGGGCCACCTGTGGTGCCGACCAGTAGTATAGGGAAGAGGGTGTTGTGTTTCGTATTTAGTTTATTAGGATTGCCATATAATATCAACGATTACAAAGAAAAGTTTACAAACTATATTGGGTCTTTCGCCATGTTTTTATATAAGCCTGTACAATGTTATCACGTGTTCTTGTGTTCTTATATTTATGTTACATGACGTAACAATATATCACTACATCCCTCTTTCCCTTATACCTGATTATAACAAAACAAAGTCGACGTCAACTATAATTAATAAAAATATTCTTATTATTATCATGCAGTTCATGCGTAATAGTCTGGTGGTTTTACCACTCGTCCACTTCGAGTTGTTACTCTACCTGACGTGCTGTTGCTGTTGTCAGGATTGTTGGTGGTTGTGCTTGATTGTGAGGTAGATGTATTTCTCGCAGGTGGATTCGGTTGCGCCTCAATTCCCCAGTTGGTGTGTCGACTTGATAAGATCTTGGGGTATTGAAAATCTTTTCCTTTATGGTGCTGGACTCCATTTGCCAGTCGACGAATTTTGGACACTGACAGATTGTCCTGACTGTAGAGAAGGAAGAGGTTCACGTGTTGTTATCATGATACTGTTTTTGCTTTTCCTTCCTTTGATTTATAATTGGTTATAATGTCATCACTATTGTGATCCCTGGTACTTTTCCGCGGTAAATTGTCTTGAAGTTTCATTTTCATGAGCGGTTCTGCTGGTGATGGTAACTCATTGTCTATCGGTGTGGAGCGCAAGCAAAGGAGAGCAATGTTCGGGTCAGTATCGGCCTTCTTAGCTTTAGCTAATATAGCTTTCACTGTCTTCACTTGACTTTCAATGTACCCGTTACTTCGGGGATAATGGGCTGAACTTGTTACTATCTGGAACCCGTATTCATTAGCAAATTCGCGATAGTCCTTGCTGGAATAATGTGAACCGTTATCAGAACGAACGACTTCAGAGATCCCTTGTTCGATGAATATATGCTTTAGGACCGCTATAATGGTCTTCCTGTTGCTCTGCCCTTTTGGAATTTTCCTCACAAATGGGTACTTGGAGTAATAATCGGAAACAAGCAAATATTCTGTGTTATCAAGAAAGAACAGATCAGTGGGAATTGTATGCCAAGGGCGACGTGGTATCTCTGTTGGGATGAGTGGTTGTCCGTCGGGTTTGTGTTGGTTGGAACTCTTGGCAGGTACGACAATATTTGGTTATTCTGTCGATATCTTCGTTCATCTTTGCCAAAAGACGGATCGATGTTCTGGCACAAAGTTTTGTTTTCTCTGCACCTTGATGTGCTGCATGAAGTTTTCCAAGAATTTCAACTTGAAGGGTTGACGGTATAATGATTCTTTGCCCTTTCATGAGTATTCCATTTTCAATACTAATTTCGTCACTGTAGCACCAATACGGTTTGAGAACTTGTGGAACTTCTTTATTAATTGATGTTGGCCAGCCTTCGTGCACAATCGTTTTGAGCATCATCAGCTCCTGATCAGAAGTTGTTGTTAGTTTGACCTTCTCAATCATTTCGCTGCTAAACTGTGGGCAAACTTCGTGAATTTCTACGTTCATATCTTTCACTGCATGGTTCTTTTCTTCGAGGGATAATCCTGACAGTGCATCTGCTAGTAGCATGTCTTTTCCTGGAATATATTTGATAGTTAGGTCGTAGGGTTGTAACCGGAGTAGCATACGTTGCAGTCGGGGTGGCGCAGACGTGAGGTGTTTCAGGTGGATACTATCGAGCGGTTTATGGTCAGTATGGACAATTACTGCTCGTCCAAACAAATAGGTGTGGAAATGTTTGCATCCATATACATCGGCCAGCATTTCCCTTCGATGTTGGTATATCTGGTCTCCACGTCTGTTAATGATTTACTTGCAAACGCAACAGGTTTCCCTTCTTGTATTAGCGCTGCTCCAAGACCCTTTGTTGAAGCGTCCACTTGTAGAACAACTTCTTTGGCGCTGTCGAAATAGTTAAAGGTGATCTCTTCATTGATGACTTGTTTAACTTCGTCAAATGCCCATTGGTAGTTTTCATTCCACTCAAAGGTATTCTTCTTCTTTAGGATTTCTCGTAATAGTGCTGTAATGGAGTTAAGGTTTGGGATAAAAGGACCCATGTATGTGGCTAACCCAAGGAATGACTGGAGCTCACGACGATCTCTGGGCTTTGTCATCTGTTTCAAGGCGGAAACTTTGGATGGATCTGACTTAATGTCCTCTTCATTTCATGTAACTCCATAGAATCTGATTTGTTTCTGCTTTATGAAGCATTTCTCAGGGTTGAGCTATAGACCGGTGTTTTGGCATCTCTCCATCATACCATGTAGGTTTTCATCATGCACTTCCGCTGTCTTGCCAAATACCACTATGTCGTCAGCGATTCCAACAACACCACTGCAGCCCTCAAAGGTTTGATCAATTTTTGATTGAAAAACATCGTGTGACATCTTTAAACCGAATGGCGAGTTAAATGTTGTTAAATAACTGGATTCTTCATCTAGTGTCACGTTCCAGTAGCCGCTTGTTGCGTCGAGGATAGAGAAATGGGCCGGTAGCACCATTCAACTTTGGTAGCATTTCTTCTAGGGTTGGTATAACGTGGCGGTCACGTTGGATAGCGACATTCAAGCCTTTCGGATCCAGCCATATTCTTAGCCTCCCATTGGGTTTCCTTCGGTAAACTAGACTGTTGACCCATGCTGTGGGTTCACCTTTTCGAACTTTGGTTATAATGTCTAGCTGTTCCATCTCTTCAAACTCGTGTTTGATATCATCTTTAAGAATAATGGGTACACGTCGGGGTAGGTGAATGACAGGTGGAACTGAAAGGCCTAAGGTGATGTGATATTCCCCTTGGAATTTGCCAATCTCATTGAAACAATTTGGATATTGTGCAATCACGTGCGATTTATTATCTATGCAAGTGCTTGGTTTAAGCTTTGCCGTGTCCTTAATAGGCGAGGTACTGTGTCTCTTGTACTTGTGATTCCTCTACTGAACAGTTCAACGTAATCAAGTGATAATCTAGTGCAGTTGGTAATCCAATAATTGCTTTACTGTGTACATCAGTCACATAGAATGTAGCGCTTGTGCTGTTGTTCTTGTATGAGCACTTTATTTCGCATGTACCAAATTGTGGAATTGGGGTACCCCCGTATGCTGTAAGGGTGGTTGTGGACTTTTTAACTGCACTTATCTTGGGTTTGCCATCATAACTGATATTCTCTGGGAACATGCTACGGTATAATCTTTGTCGTCGGATGTTTGCTTGAGCACCTGTGTCAACTTTAGCTCTCAAATGTGTGTTATGGGTATTATTTGGCAGTTCGATGTCGATCATGACTATTTCATCATCTTTAGTTTGGCTGTTTGAGTCAGGTGTAATACTGTCAACTGTGATCGTGTCAAAAACTAGTGTATCGAATTCATCACTTGACTCGCTGTTTACATTCAATTCATGGATCCGCCTATTACTGTTTCGACCTTGACCTTGGCTGTATCTAGTTTGTTTGACCTCATTGGGATTATGGCTTCCTGGTCTAGCTTGGTGGTGAGGTGTTTTGTTTATTTTCTTGCGACACATTTTTGCCCAATGGTTTGGCTTTGAGCAAAAGTCACAGCTTCACAGAAGCTTCAAAGAAGCTTAACAGAGCTCGGCTCCGAGCCTAAGGAGCTGGCTCCGAGCCTAGGGAGCTAGCTCCAAGCCTAAGGAGCTCTGGCTCCGAGCCTAAGTTATGTTGAACATATCAATATATCGAGAGGATTATAGAGGATTATTATTCCACCATGTAGGAGATTCTAACACATTCTCTATTTCCAGTTTATGTACGTTACAATTAGCTCACTTTACAATTACGCTGCAAACTGGATTTTTGCCTAATATTTATACCGCAAAGTCTCGCGCCTGGTTTTAAGGCATACACCTGCGTAATAAATAATCCCTATCTATCCATTGGAATACACTAAGTTATGTAAATTTTTATTCGCCTAATCCCTTAACTATCTCCTTGTCTTGTTAGTATTTTTTCTTGTCTCAAGCTCGCTGGGTGAAATAAAAATTGTATCCACATGGGGTGGGCGGGTTAATCACATTTTAATGTCTCTGTAATATGCAAATATCGACCATAACAACGGCGTTGACAACGATTTTAACTTGGGCTTAGCAACCGCTTAGTTCTGTTTAAAAATTTTTATATGTATTTCTGGATTTTCTTATTCCTTGCTTAATAGTCCTAACCATGGTGAATACATCCGCAGGGAAAACCAAGGATGGTTTTAAAGTAGTGGACACTCTAAGATTATCTAATAAAAGCTTGTAATACGGTGAAATGAAATACACCTATTATACTCTATTTCTATTGTCGTTTACGATTTGGGGGAATTTTGAATAAACTGGGATATTCTCTGCAGTATTCCCCCGGAAGCCTTGTAAACTCCTATAGGTCAGGAATTTTCGTAATACACAATTCTCACTGCGCATGCGTGTAAGTACAACATCTACGTCCCACAAGCATTACAACAACTTTAGTAGAATATATAAATGTGTTGAAATCCACTCAGTTTGTTAGAAGGAATATAATAGCTGTAGCAACAAACGACAGAGAAGTAGACAGAAATAAAAACTGCGGATAAACAAACGGCAGCGAACAGCCTAGACCTAGGCCACAGAATAAAGATCCACACAGAAGGGCCACTTACGTCGGAAGCTTTGAAATTTCTGAGGCGCTGGCCGCCATCTTCCTAGCCAGTCGATTACATTTTCTGGCCAATAAACGCGCTGTATTGGCTCTGGCCAGTGAACTTCATATTTTGCATAAAAAATGGCTACACGTTGCACGCTGAGTGGCCCTTCTCGTACTGATCTTTATTCTATGCCTAGGCCTTTACTCGGCTGGCTTTGGCCTTTGGCAGGTATCTTTGGCAGGTTTGGTCAATCCCCGGCTAGCATTTGGTAATTTAATATCGCAATGGTCATTTGCCATAACTTTGTGATCCGAAATTGATCAGAAACCAACAACTAAAGCAATTTATACTGTCCAGTAGTTATTACATTAACTATAAAATCATTTTATGACTAAAGTAACCTATTATTAGTTTATAAATATCGCGTTAAATTGTATTAAACATCTTTAAAGGCCTTTAATTAAAGTTGCAACAATTTTGGATACTGATTTATACTCGAAATAATTCTTTTATTCGCAAGACAATCTACTGTTTTGTTTTGAATAACTATATTTGCGAATCGGGAATGATGATTTTGACATTATTGTTCAAGTATTATGGATATACCATTTGTAAACAATGTACGTTTTATACACTGTACGGGCTAATAATATATGTATCCATTCTATTTAATAATTGTATATGTGTTTGTATATATTTTACAAACACAAGGTTGCTTCTTGCCAAAGTTGAGAAAATATATGTTAATGTAGTTGTATATAAGACAATATTTCATGAAAGATTTTACTTTTGGCATATATTTTGACTCATTTTGAGCTTTCGCTACACTTTGTCAACATAATAATAGTGTTGCTTCAAACTTTATGATAAAAACCCCAATTTATGGTTATTTAAAAAACCCTAAAATATTTCGCGATGTTTTGATTACTTTACAAGCGTTTGCAGGTGTTACTGTAACACGGGTAATATACTGGACCACGGTTAATAGAAGGAGACTGGTTTGGCTAGCCGGCGAACATCAAAGTAAGGCGGCAAATATGTGCATGGCCTTTGTGTGGGCTTTATTAATTTAATATGCTTCAATTTGAAATTTGATATACTTCCTTCTCAAAAATCGAACGAAAGGCCGCTTGACAAACCGAAATCAGAAGACATGGAACCCGACTCACATGAGGAGAAAACTGAGGGGGAATTGTTTCAATCCCAAGCGATAAATGTTGATTTTGAAAGCGAAAAAGAAGCGGAGGAGTTGGGAATTGATAGCGTGCTTGACACAGATGAAAGTTTGCTTGTTGATGACGTCTACAAGCTTGATATTAGTGTATTTATAGCCAAAACAGAAACACCAGAAGCGGATGATGTATTCGACGATGCTTTGTTTGAAATGGAAGGCAAGAAATCATTTAATTGTAACATTTGTTCGAAGGTTTGCAAATCGAAAGGAGGGCTGACAAGACACCAGAATTCAAAGCATACTGAAACAACGAAAGGTCGCGATAATATTCCAGGTTTAGCACTTGATCAAAACGCGGTAGATGGTTTTGTCGAAGCAATTAAATCTCGGATCATTGAAGAAAATCTTTACACGCAGGAGACAAACTCAGGATTGAAAAAAGTAACTTCATCGCCGAAATTATACCAAGCTTTGCTGCCTATTTATCAGACATTTTGTCGAAAATAAATATTTTGGAAGCTGCCGAATTAGCATTTCGGGATGAGATAAACAGGAGTGAAGGGATTATTCGAAATATTCCTACTGACACTATTTACAATGCGGTTGTTGAAAACCCAAAAGTCAAATCGTTATGGGAAAATATTGTTATGTCATGCAGTATTCAACCATCTTCAACAACACAGAAATTGTGCTTAGAAAATGTATTGAAACTCTTCTTGAAAGTTCGATCTTTTTCTTATGCCAAGGATTACATTTCAAAGTACCAAATTAAAGAAAAGCAAGGGAAAAACAAAGCACTGAGAAATGAATTAAAAAGGAAGACATAACATAGCATCTCTATACATGACAGTTTATGTGGAACAATTATCTGTAACCTTTGAAACTACAATGAACCCTACTTTGTTATTTTACTCATTTTAGTGCCAGAGTATCTTTTACTCGCTAGTCAATTCATAATGCTAAAGATAATATGCTTGAATTAGACAGAGTAACCAGATAGCCTGATCGATGAACCATTTAAGTAGTAAATTTGTCTGGCAATAGAAAGAGTAAAATAATAAAGTAGGGCTCATGAAGGCACATTGCCACTCAAAGGGTTAAAGAGGCTATTTGGCTTTCTGTGGGCATAGGTGTGTAAGTTTGTACAAAAACTACAGTATATATTTCTCACCTACCATATTATTCCTGTAAATTTCATCCATAGTTCAATTATTACATTATTACGGTAACAGTAATAATTACATTATTGATGCAACAATTAAATTAATCAACACTCCCATATTTATACTAGCTTTTTCAATGTAGCACAATTAACAAATTAATTAATGATATCCAGATTAGAGTCAATATCAATTTAGTTCTAATGTGACACAATAGTACAGTTTTTTACACAACATTCTGCTGTTGGCATAGATGTCCAACTATTTATTTAAAATTCGAGCATCCACTTGACACATTTCCCGTTGCTGTACTATATGCTTTAGACCTTTAGCACTAGCATTTTCTCACCATTCTGAATATGATTACTCTTAACTAAATTTTGGTGATAAAATATTGTAAATCCTCCATTAATCCTGCTGGGGACTATTAACATTTCAGGGCCTGGTGCCGATTGGGCACTTTATTGAAAGTAGAGGGCTTAATTGAGGATATTACATAATTATGCACATTATTCAAATGTATGAGCTCTCCTTATATATGAGCTGTCAACTTATAATTATGTCCTATAAGGTTTATTGGGTCGTTCCAGAAAAGATCCACACTCCCCCCACGGAGGAAATTTCTGCCATCCGGAGGGGAAGGGGAGGCAAAATTGTTTATGATAATAGTAAATGTATTAGGACATCCGAAGGGGGTAGGGGGGTTAACTTCCAATTTCCTCTGTGAGGGTTGTATGGATGTTTTGTGGAATGACCCATTGGCTTGTTTTGTAATAGAGTGCAAAGTTTAAAAATTAATTTTGTGCATATAGTTTCAATTTACATGGCAATCTAAAAATTCA